GGAGCACTTGTTGTTCCCTTCTCCCTGGGTTTGTTAACACCACGTCCTTTCCCCCCAACTCTCCCTCTCCCATGTCCCTCCGGAACTGACAGTCCCATCATTTTCTCCTCCAGATTGTTCATCCAGCCTGTCTTATTTAGGCAAACTTGCGGAGATAATAACATGCACACAAACAAGACAGAGCAAAACCAAGCAACAATATACAACAAAACAACAACAAAGAGCCAATGACAAAACAAAACAAAAACACATCAAAAAAGAAAATCTTATAGTTAGCTCAAGGACTGTTTGTTGGCCTCTAGGAGTGTTTTCTGGTTGAGTCTGATGGGGTGCTAAGACCTGGCCCCAACATCTATTTTTGGTATTCCCTGGGGACTTTGTTGCTCTGTTCCCCTTGCTGTTCTGTTTCACGTCCTTAGTGTTTTGCCTCGGTGTGGTGGGATCAGATCGGGGCGCAATTCCCACACTGTGTCTCCAATGTTGTCCCCTGCACACAATTCCATTCTGACATGCATGGGTTCCACATCAGTGGGAGTTGATTCCACAACAGCTGGTTTGGTTGCCCTTCCCAATGACCTCCTTTCCTTCCCACCAGACAGAGGTGTGAACCTGGCTGTCCCTTCCTCTCAAGACCACCGCAAAACTTACAGGCAGGGCAAGACCCAAAAGAACCAGGGAAGAGCTCATTAGCCTTGAAGCAAGGACAATTAAAAGTTGAGGCAAAAATATTTCCAGAATGTTTATTCCCTGGGGAACTTCGCCCTCAAGCTCCGGTGGTGGCAGAGCGCTAACTGGGAGAAGGGTGAGTCAAAGAACAACGAACACACCAAAAGCCAGTAATTGCCCTCCGGGGACGCCTAGGTTCTCAGAAGTTACCCACCAAGACTGGCAAAGTGAAAATTCCATTTCCGGGAAGAGGGGGGACAATGGCCTCAAGGACTTCCTCGGAGCAGTGCTGCCTGCCCCGCAGAGTGAGTCCTGTGTGTGAGGTGAGCACCCAACCCAGGTTGGTGCAGGGCAGATGTGGGAGGCTGGAGCCCAGACCCCTGGGAGTAGCTGGGACTGTCTTGGGAGCCTCCACAGTGCGGTTCTCTCTAGATGTGTTTGGGGCAGCTCAGTAGCGTCCTGGGTCTGGTCAGTTGTGGGGTCAACAGCATACGCTGACATCTCAGTGAGTGCAGAGCTCTTTGCCGCCGGGGCTGAGAGGGGGCGGCAAAGAGGAGAAGGCTCCGTTCCGGACCTCGGAGAAGTTGCACTGTGTTGGAGACCAGAAGAGGGCTCATAGAAGGGCTGGGCTTGAAGCAAGAGCGGCAGATAAAAACAGCTGTTGCCATCACATCGATCCTGACTCCTAGTGGCAGGACAGGACAGAAGGACACTGCTCCCACAGAGACACCGAGGCTGCCATCTTTACAGCGGCAGACTACTGCCACGTCCTTGGTGGGGTCCGACCACTGGCCCTTTGTTTAGCAATCGACCCTTGACGACTGTCAGCGGCTCTGTACAGAGAGCCATCATCCAAAAGAACCAAGTCTGCTGCCATCCAGTTGATTCCAACTCACAATGACCCTGGCTCCAGATAAATATTTTAAAAACTCACTGCCATGTGTTGATTGCAGCTCATAGCAACCCTGTAGGTCAGGGTAGAACTGCCCCTGTGGGTTTCTGAGACTCTAACTTTATGGGAGTAGAAAGCCCCATCTTTCTCCCTGCATCAATAGATAGAGACCCTTGTCTTTTCCTGAAAGGGAGAATGGTAGCCACTGTCAGCCATCAAGATGGGTAGTTCCCCTGGAACGAGGGAAGTCGGAATACAGAGTGGTAGGCTCATCCCATTCAGGGTTCCCTGGGAGAGTCTTCTCAAAACGCTGCAAGTTTCCCCGTCCTGACCGACGAGGTCCTCCCCTTTCTGTTGTTGTGGCCCCTCCTCTCTCCTTGCCCTCTGGTTTGCAATTTGCTCTGGTCCCACTGGCTGGCACCCCTCCCACAGTTAAGGGCAACATGAGTTCCTTGATCCCTAAATTGACTGCACTCTATGGTAGAGCCTGTGAAAACGGCAAGTGGCCCAGCACGGAAGGGCTTCACTTCTCCTGTCTGGAGCATGGTAAGCTGAAGCTGCAGGCACTCCTGGGTGGCACTCAGCCACTAGGCAATTCCTCTCTAGAGCTGGAAGAGACCCTGGCATTGACCTCATCACCTGTGCTCACTCATGTTGCAGATGGAGAGACAGGGTCCGACACCTGGAGGTGCTTAGGTGATTGGCTGACCCAGGCAGATAGAAGCCAGGTATCCTCATCAGCAACACAAGTGGGCTTAACCCCGCACCCGTTTTCCAAGAAGCAGCTGCATGGATCGTTTCTTGGCTTCTGCAGCTGTGTTTCTCTCTCTGTCTGTCTGTCTCTCTGTCTCGGTCTCTCTCTCTGGTTATTTACAGTTTTGCTCTGTAGCTCCTGTTACTGCTCCACATGGCCTGCTTCCTCTGGGGCTCCTGAATGAGGTCACCATGACTCACCCTGGCTCTGTGCCTACCGGGCTCACTGCCCCACCCATCCTGACCCCTGTGCCCCCAGCCCCTGGCTCTGGAATCCACATGTTGAACAAAGGGAAGGAAAGACTCTAATGATCTGCAAACGCTGAGAATGAGCCTGTTAGTAACAACATTTCAGCCCCCCCGAGCAGGGCGCCAACCATCTGTGGGGAACACGGTGTCCAGTGAGCACCCGCTGGACCAAAGTGGACTGTCCCCCTTCATTCTTCGCTATGCCCACACACGGGTCTGTGACTAGCACCCTTGCACCTGGTACGCTCCCAGAAGTGTTGTTGGGGGTAATGCAGAGGGGTAGAAACCCTTTCAAGAATGCCTCAGAGGCGGGGAGAGGAGGGAGGATGCAAACTCTGTCACCCAGGGATGGAACTATTTCACTGACACGTGTGACATTTGGCTAGCCATCCGTGTGTGTGCGTGCGCCTGCTTTGTTTCTGTGATGAGGAAAACGGGTGGGATGCGGGCTCCGTTAGCTTCTCTTTTCCATGAAAGGGTCCCAGAGGTCCTTCTGCCTGACCCTTTTTATGGAGAACACAGGGAGGCACGCTCCACCCACCTCTGCGCTGGCAGGATTGAACCACAAGTGAAGCTGAATAGTCAATGAGTCACCACCCCGCGCGTTAGATCTTTTCTTTAAAAAAAAGAAAAAAGACAAAAGCATCATTAATTTTTTGTTTTAAAGAGGACATACATGTAGCTGTTTCACACAGTTCATGTATTCACTCAGAGGTTACTTTCAGAGACAGAAGTCCGAGGGAGATGGCGTTCGACTAAGAAAGCCCGATGGCAGGTCAGAGGAGCTCTGGTGCTACCGTGGGTTAAGCATCGGGCTGCTCACCAAACGACGTGGTGCCTCCCAGCCATCAACCCTCTGCTGGAGAAGGATGAGACGGCCGGCTCTGGTCAAGGCCAGTGGCTCGAGGCCCCATCAGGCTGTTCTGCTCCGTCTTTCGTACAGGGCCACCATGGAATCGCCGTGGACAGGGGCTAGGAGAGCGGCGCCTTCCCTGTGATAGAGGACTGGGCTGCGTGCCGGGAAGACGCTGGGCAGCTGTGGGATGAGAATCCCTCCCTCCGGGAGCGGGGGTTTCCATCACTTCATCCTGTGCCCTGTTGGGAGTGGCTGATTTCATGACTTGATGGTGTGAAGCGTGTCCTTCACGGGCTAAGCAAGTGTCTGCAGCTGCCTCTGCAGGGCGAGTTCCCAAGAAAGAGGGCCGGGTGCCAGAGGTAACTTAATTACAGCACGCCAACTTTAATTAGGCGAGCGCGGACCTCGTCCCTCGCCTTCAGAGCACTTAGCACAGTTACACTTAATTAATCTTTCGTCGTCGTTAATGTGATCTGTGTCCCCGCGAAGTGGGAAGGACCCAGGAAACGGGGCACCCACTTGCCTCCTTCTTGTTCAGACAGGTCCCCAGGCCCAGCCCAGCTCCTGGCACAGAACAGGGCTGCAAAGGCTTTTGTTCACGAACTGAAGCTGCGCCTGACAAACGGATGGGGGAAACAAAGACGTTGTGAGAGGTATCCTGTCTGGGCAGTGACCTTGCGGACGGCCTCCTGGAAGAGTGGGCAGAGGCTAGACCAGCCTTGCAGGAAGGGGCTGCTGGAACGCAGAATATCTACTCCCTTGCTTGCAAGTGTCTCATGGGAACCCTTCCCCAGTTTCCCTTCCTTTCTGCCCCGCTCTCCTCTTCTCCACCCTGGTCCTTCCTCTTCCCGGCCTCTTCCCCATAGCCTTGCCTTCTCGGGCACCCTCTCTTCCTCCTTGTCCATCATTTCCCCCGCCCCCCCACCCGTGCCCGACACTTACCTTTTGCTGTCCACTCCGGTCACCTCCTACAAGACTACAAGGGTTGTTGTCCGCTGCATCCTTGTCGTGGTGGCCCCACAGACACAGGAAGGAAAGACTGTCCAGCCTCTCACTGTCCCTACGACCAGTCGCAGATTGGACTGGGTGCTCCATAGACCTGCCACTGATTTTTCGGAAGTCGGTCACCAGGCCTTTCTTCCTAGTTGCTCTTAGTGCAGAAGCTCAGCTGACACCTACAGTGTCACCTGACACCTGACACCTGTGCTGTGGTAGCAGCACACAGGCACCCACTGTGAAGGGGGTGGTGTTTGCACAAGAGGTGCCCAGGCCAGACCAATATTAGACCTGGTCTCGTCAGGGAGGAGAGAACACGCCGGAGCAGTGAGCCAGCTGTGCCTCACTCAATGGGAAACAGGTCCCAAGGGTAAAAAGGTGACTGGGCCGGGGACTAGATTGGTGAAAATGTCCTAGGTGAGGGTGAAAAGCCCCTGCCTTCTCCCTGCCCTGCTGCTGCTCACCACCTAGGGGAGGGGAGGGGGTTGCTGACCCATTCCGTCCACCCTTTCTGGTCCAGCCACCATACTACCCAAGGGCCTGCACGTCTTCACCGGCCCCTAGATTGTGGACCCACCTGTCCCTCCAATGCCCCTCCTCCAGGCAGCCCAGCCTGCCTGCCCCTTGAGGAGGGACAATCTGACCTGGGTGAATGACTTTGTTCTCCTGGGCCTCTCCAGGGACCGGCGAGTCCAGGTGGGACTCTTCCTCCTCTTTGGGGCTGCCTACCTGCTGACCCTGCTGGGCAACGGGCTCATGGTCCTCCTGACCGGGATGGACTCGAGGCTCCACCTGCCCATGTACTTCTTCCTGGGCCACCTCTCCGTGGTGGACATCTGCTACACCTCCAGCGGGGTCCCCCAGATGCTGGTGCACTTGCTCCAGGAGAGGAAGACCATTTCCTTTGCCCGGTGTGGGACCCAACTGTTTTTCTCCCTGGCCCTCGGGGGCACCGAGTTCCTGTTGCTGGCCGCCATGGCCTATGACCGCTATGTGGCCGTCTGTGACCCCCTGCGCTACGCGGCCGCGATGAGCCCGCGGCTGTGCGTGCTGCTGGCGGCCGTGTGCTGGCTGGTGGGCCTGGCAAACTCCTCCGTGGAGACGGCCATCACCATGCGCCTGCCCACCTGCGGTCGCAACGTGCTCAACCACGTGGCCTGCGAGACGCTGGCACTGGTGCGGCTGGCCTGTGTGGACATCACCCTCAACCAGGTGGTCATCGTGGCCTCCAGCTTCGTGGTGCTGCTGGTGCCCTGCTGCCTGGTGTCGCTGTCCTACGCCCAAATCGCCGCCGCCATCCTGCGCATCCGCTCCAGCCAGGGCCGCCGCAAGGCCTTCGGGACCTGCGCCTCCCACCTGGCGGTGGTCTCCATGTCCTACGGCATGGCCCTCTTCACCTACCTGCAGCCCCGCTCGGCCGCGTCGGCGGAGCAGGACAAGGTGGTGGTGCTCTTCTACGCCGTGGTGACGCCCATGCTGAACCCGCTCATCTACAGCCTGCGCAACAAGGACATGAAGGCCGCGCTGCGCCGCCTGCTCCGCGGACGCACCCGCACGCCGCAGCACTAGGGCACCCGCCGCCGGCCCACCCAAGAAGGGCGCAGGCAAGGGGCCGCCTCTCCGTGAGGGGCCCTGTGTGAGTGGAAGCTCTATGAGCACCCGTGTGAGAACGTCAGTGTGCGTGAGTTTGAACACGTGGGAGTGTGGGGGTGGGGTGTGTGCACATGTATGTGCAGGTGAGAATGTGGTGTGAGTGTGAGTATTAGCATGTTTGAGTGTGTGAATGTGTGCATATGACAGTGTGAGGCTGAGTGCGGGGAGTGGAGTCTGTGTGTGAGTTATGTGTGTGCACATGTGAGTGTGAGTGTGTAAGAGTGTGTGTGTCCCTGTGTGTGAGTGTATGCAAGTGTGAATGAGTGGGTGTGTGGTGTGAACATGCGTGCAGGTGTGAGGGTAGGGAGTGGACTCTGTGAGAGCTGTGTGTGCACATG